TCTTTTTTTTTTTTTTTTTTTTTTTGCTTTTTAGGTATCTGGAGCTTTTTGTATGCAGATCCCTGAGTTGGAAGAGTTAAACCCACTGTCTGAATTCTTGAGATTTACTGATTTATCAAGAAATTTGAAGCATTGTTGGACAGTATTATGCTACCGACTTAAATGTCAAAGTGGAAATCTTAAAATTAAGGCAGAACCCAAGTTGCTGCTTCTGTAATAAATTTGTATTTTCCCAGCCAGGGATTTAGCTCAGTGGTTCCGCCGCCTGCCTTGCAAATGCCCATGTTCAATCCCTGGTACCCCCCGCAAAATTGTATTTTCAATCTTTAAAGCTTTAGAAATCTGGAGAAAATATGGCTACCCAGGAGGCTGAGGCAGAGGAAGATGGAAAGTTCAAACCCAGGCTGGGCAATTTACCGATTTAATGAGAGCATGTCTCAAAATTTTGGAAATTTTCAGTTTAAGAATACTTGGTATGCATCTCCATATGAAGACTCTAGATTCAGTCTTTAATTACACACACATACTAACACACGCACACGGAAAAAGGCTGTCATAACTGAAGGGTCTTTATAATAATGTTTTTGGTTTAAATTATGTTTGTAGGATTATTATAGAAAATGCTGTAACATTTATCATTGCTGCAGAATATATTGATCTCTTGTGGATCAGGCTACAACTTGTAAGAGAAGAATGTAAAGTAAGTGTTGCAATTGCATTGTATGAGTCAGCAATGACTTCTTTCTCCCTCAGTGGGCTTGCAGAGAGTTAGAATGGCTTTAAAAAGCCTGTGGCATATTTGATCTATCATTAAATAGCAACACATTTTTCAACTCCTCTGTCCTTTAGCAGTGTAGTTTTGTATAGGCTTCAGTCATTAAGCTTATTGGTAAAAGAGTTGTTTCGTTTTCATATATCAAGTTAACCTTTTTAAAGGAGTAGAATTAATTGTACTTACATATAAGCTGTCTGAAAACCTGACTTTAAAATCATAAATAAAAACATAGATTGTCTTCCAGTCACCATCACTCTGAGTAATTTAATACTGAAATGTAAAGAAATTGCATCAAAGAGAGCTATGTAAATTGGGTTCTTTGTAGTAAGCACTAAGATATGAAGTGTGATTTCTCTATATTGTTGTCTCCTCTCCCTCCTTTCCAGGACATTGTGTTGCTCAGAGTTCTAGTCCATATCCTCCACTGATAACGTTACTGTCCAGTGGCTGTGTCCCACATCCGTTGTCTCCAGCCCAGATCCCTCACAGGTTTAAACCTGCATTTTCACTTGCCTGCTGGATACTTTTATGTAAATGTCCTCTACCACAACTCAGAATTGACACTCTCAGTCTACTAATCATCTCTCTTAGCCTCACAGAAATAGACATCTGTTCTTAACTGCCCAGATTAGAAACTTAAACATCATTCCTGACTCCTTTTCCTCCACATCTTACACTCCTGTTCTCCAAACTCCATATCCTAAATGTGCGCATTGTAACTCTTTGCTGTACAGATGACAACAAAACTGAAGCTTACTTGATCAAAATGTACAGTTTCCTGACTCTTCTTGTTTGGAGAGGAAAGGGCCATTATTAAAGATCGGTGTATTTTGCCTCAGGAATGATTTGATTCAGGAGCTGGATCACTGAACTGTCTTTCATCTTAGCTTCTCTCAGTCTATTGTTTTTTGTTTTTCTGTTGTACTCTAAAAGGGCTCTGTCCTTGCTTAAGTCATAAATATTTGGGAATCATAGGTAACTATGATTTATATGTTTAAAATTCAATAAGACAACTTCAAAGCCTTAGTGGCATTAAGTAAAGAAGACCTAATACATGGAGGGATGGATTTTTTTTTTCCCCAGGGCTGGCTGGGTAGATGGATGGTGTACGTGCCCAGCTTGCATGGGGTCCTAGATTCAATCTGTGGGGAGGGAGAGCCTAATGTCGATCAGTGGAAGAATGGATAAAACAATACTGTACTTTTTTATGTACAAAGCAATACTATACAGCAGTTAGAATGATCAAATTTATACCTATATATACTTACATCTCACAAATGTAATGTTGAAAAACAAGCCAGTCAGGAAGGAGAATGTTGTTTATGATTCCATTTAAATGAAACTGACAAAGCTCTGTGTTGTCAGAAGTCATGGGAATGGTTACTTGAGTGGAAGCAGGGATAGTAACTAAGTAGGAGACCTGTATTGTTTCTGGAGTGTCAATAATGTTCTCTTCTGTTTCTGGCTAAAAGACAGCATGTGTTGCTTTAGATTTTGATGGTTTTTTCCTTCTTCTTCTCCTCCTCCTCCTCCCTCCTCCC